AATAGAATCCATGCTTTGCACAACAAACATATCGACCTTTTTTTACAGTGTAAGCCCATCTAATTAAGAATCGTTTTAAACAAAGAACAATAATTCTTAATTAAGTATTCTGAGGTTAAGATACTTCTCACACTGCAAAGGCTTCACTCTTGACCGTGCTCCAACAACATGTTCCCAAAATATTCCTCACTTTTCTCTCAGTGTATTTATAAGAATTTCCAGCTCGCTCTTGACCATCCAAGCATCCACTTGCTCTTGACTTACAAGACTTGATTGTAACTTTTCTCTCAGTGTAACCCCATATATAATCGCATAGTAGCTGCATACTTGGCGCTGCCTCTGCCGCCGCCTCTGCCGCTGCCGCTGCCCCGGCTACAATCCGACAAGCCAAATCACATTGACATTTTTATCATTTGTTGAAAATCTTTTGAAATTGTTATAAAACAGCCAGACGACGAGCTACAGCAACAACAACAACAACGACAACTAAAAACTCAAAATACATAAAACATTTTTTGTTGCTTTTGCTGTCTGTTGTTGTATTTGTTGTTGATGTTATTGGTATTGTTGTTGTGTTTGTTGTTGTTGCTACAATTTCTGTCGTTGTTTTCAGTTCATTCTCATTTTGAAGCAAAGCGCGACAATCTTGCCATCAGATCAGCTGATAAGCGCGAACTGTACAAATCATACAACAACAACAACAACCATAACAGTATGGCTATCTATACAGCGGACAGCTGTTCAAGTTTGTTGTTGTTTAGCTTTTTTTTTTTTTTACTCTCCGCTTGTCTCTTGAAATTGACTACAAAACATTATCACAGCTCGAGCATCGAATTTCGTATTTATTTCGATTGATATGAAACTGAAAACCTTGATAACGCTTGCTCAGCAAATCAGCTGTCTCTGAAAATTGATCACACACCAAATGGATCTTGAAAAATTCCATACGATAGAGTCATGCATGCATATACAGATAAGCCTTATATACAACATAGCCACATACATACATATTATATACAACATATATGTACATATACATATGTATATCTATGTCATTTATTCCAAATGACAAATTTCAACCATATTGGACAAATTTAAAAATAATCAGTGATTTATCAGTTCACATACATATATATGTATATAGAAAGAGAGAGAGACTGAGATATTTTTAGAACTTTGATTCGGCTTTTGATTTTGTGATAATAATAAATAATATTTTTTATTGAAAAAATGCGCTCAAATCATAATGACAGTTAGATTAGCACTCATGACTTAATCTTAAGAGAATAATATAAATTAAAGATTGCGATCGTATCTACAGCTTAAGTGTATAAGATTGAGAATAATATGTCATAGTGGAAACTTTATTGGTTCGTATAAAATTTTATGAAATATAGTATTCGATGATTAGAGCTGTAATCGAATGCATGAACAAACTGTTAATCAAATTTGTAGCACTTAAAATTGGCGGGAATTTAAAGAGTAATGAAGAACGAGAATAATGAATATATTATATATTAAATTGCCAAGTAAATAAATAAGTATATACATATATCAAAAAAAAAATTTCTGAAAATCTATACAAAGTTTCATTTATGTTAATTCTGCTTGGGATTATCTCCTTCTTCGCCTTTAGTTATTCCTTTTCCCAATTCCTTTTTTTTTTTTTTTTTTTGTTCTTTCTATTTTAAATTTTGATAATATATAGCAAGTGCTTTTTAGTTAGTTGAGTTTCGATAAGCGACTCGGCGCGACTCGATATCGCAATTGTTTACGGGGCTCTGTGTGACTCAAGACTCAAACGTTCCCGAGTGCTCGCCCACAACACCGCCCTACTCACCCACCTCCCCTCGGCTGCCCCTAACTGCTTTATCGCTGTTGATATGCAAATGCGCTGTCCAAAAAGCAACAACAAGAATTGAACTTAATGCGAGTACACAAAACGAAAACAACATTTTGTAATTTGTAATGCAAGTTGTTGCTGTTGCTGTTGCTGTTTCTGTTGCTGCTGTTAGTTGTTATTGTTATTTATCTGCTGATATTTCCTGGTACGATTTCACAAACGGTTAATGCAAAACAACAAAAACAAAAAGAGAAAAAAATTAAAATAAAATAATAAACATCAGCATTAACAACGAAAGCTTATCGCGCTTTTTAAAATACAATGTCAAAGTGGACAAAGCTCGTATCGAGCTTATCTGCCTGCTGAGCTCGCCTCTTCCTCCCACCCTACCTCCCTCTCTCCATTTCGATCTTAATTGTCGAGCTTTAACGGTTCATCTGCAACATAATCATAAGCCGCAGCCGCAGTCGCAGTCGCAGTGGATAACAAGCACAGGGTGCCTAGCGCAACAACAGGGTGGCCTTGGCAATTGGCTATCTAGCGCAACCTGAGAGCTTTGGCTTTATCAACGGGCTGCAGCAACTGCAATTGCAAACTGCAAATACATATGTACATAGATATGTACACACACACACACATGAATGCTGCTATCAAGACTGCAAAGAGCCGTATGACACGTAGCCAGCGATTGCTGACGCGCTCACTCGTTAAGTTGAGTTCTTTTTTGCTTCGTCGTCTTCTTCTTCTTGCTGAGCCCGGAGTTCTGCTTGGAAAATTGAAATTGGAATTTGGAATTTGAAATGGAAATTGTCGCCCGCATGTTGTTGTGCTGGTCGTGTCTATTACTCAGCGACAGGCTCTATCTTTCTACTTCCACTTCTACTTCTACAACTCATTCTCAATTTTTTTTTTTCAAGCTAGATAACAGCGTTCGCACAGCTGGTAATTAACATAAAATTAGTGATAAAATGTTATTAAAAATGTATAAAAAATGACAAAATAAAACCAAACAGTGGATGGAAAATACCAAATCCAATGTTTATCTAATTTGTTCTGTGACCTGCAGCCCAGTTGCGGTTACCAACACTGGGGCACGACAGCGGCGTTGCCGTATCGCCAAAGCTAACGGCAAGAACAACAACAACAGCAGCTAAGACTTTTGCACAGTTTTCGTTTTCTGCTGCTGCAATTCTGATAACAGTTTATCGACTGCGCGCTTTAAAGCTATAGAAAAATGTCAAACAACAACAAGAACAACAAGAAGAACAGTTAGCAATAAGAACAGCAGCAAATGCGCTTAAGATAAGTATGCAAAACTAAAAGAAAAAGAGACAAACAGAGAGAGAGCGAGCAAGCGAGAGAGAGAGGGCGGCATATTGCTTCGCCTAGCCTGCGATAGTGCGCCGTATGGAAGAAAGCAAACGGCGCAGGTGCAGCAACAACAACAACAACAACTGCTTAGATAAGCGCATTAATTTATCGTAACTGTAAGCGTTGCTTAGTTGGGCTGTTAAACAGTGTGGTACACACATATGTATATAAATACATATATAATACATACATATGTATATGAAAGTGGATAGCATATGGGGTGTATAGCTAATATTGTTATTGTTCA